TGGTGCACAGTGGGAGTTGTAGTTCTGAGGTTTGGAGTCTTTACAAAGCAAAGGCCAGCCAGGTAATTGTGGCTGATAGAAAGATCCTTCCCTAGTCCATGAATCCTCGGGCAGGAGGGGCAGTGTAGGGGAAGTGACACAGACAGGAGCTGTTTCTGTATATGGATTGAAGTAGCCTCACAGGGCATTAATTCCTAATTCAGACTCTTCACATGAGCAGGGTGTTAGTTTGTTTTTTAACTTGTATATATAGCCTGTGGTCAGCCTATTTATTTATTTATTTATTTTTTAATCCTCACCTGAGGATATTTTTCCATTGATTTTCAGATAGAGTGGGAAGGAGGACAGGAGGGAGGGAAAGAGAGAGAGAAATATCGATGTGAGAGAGACACATAGATTAGTTGCCTCCCACACGACCCCAACCAGGGCTGGGGATCAAACCTCAACTGAGGTACGTGCCCTTGACCAGAATTGAACCCGAGACTCTGGTCCACAGGCCGACAATAACTGCTGAGCCAAACCATCCAGGGCAGCTTTTCAAATTCAACACTTTTTTACACATCCATTTCTTTGTGTCTACATAGTTCACAAAATTGTCTCTTAAAAGGCACTGGGTATGTTTTTGACACAGAAACAGATGTTTGTAAAGGGAATGATTCATATTCAAAATACACTCAACTTCTGGATGCTCCAATAAGACGAGGCTGTTTCTTTCATCTCTGAAGATGGTGTTCCTGTTGCTGTCGGCTAGCCCTGTATTCATGGAGACTGTGGACGTTTCAGAGGCTGCTAGTGGCTTCATGATTTGTCTTATGTGACCCCAAACCTTTGAGGGCCCAGGTGACTCCTACCAAATGACTTTTCCGGATACATTTGCCTGTGAGTACTCCTTATGGCTCCCTTTGCCCTCCTTGCTATGACCTTCCTGATCCTCTCTCCCCAGAAATGGCTCTCACCACTCTCTGGGCATCTCTGACCATCCTCTGCTGGGTAGCTACAGCCTTCTCCTGGCCGTCTTTCTAGTTCTTCATAACTGTGCTCTTGCGAGGCCCCAGACTTTCATTTCAGCTGTTTCCTCTGCTGGAAACTCTTTTGCACACACCCTCCAAAAAGAAATCCGTCAGTGCAGATTGACCGGCTCTTCCTCGTCAGTTCTCAGACGGACTCTGCCTGCTGGGAGCTCTTCCCCAGTCCTCAGGGGCCTGAGCATCCCTGCATGTGTGCATTGCCACCATGGTCACTGTATTGTTGGGCTGGTTCAGTGTCCGTCTCCCCACTGGACAGTTAGTACCTCTGGGGTGGGGTGAGCTTTGAATCCTTCCTGGAAAGGGATTAATACTCACCAGAGTTCGTTTCAAAACTGCCCAGATTGCAGTTTTGCCCCACCCATCCCTGCTGCGTTCAGGAGAGCGCCCTCTGCTGCACCCCTGTACAGGGGCCCTCATCGACACGCCGCAGCCCCGTGATCCTTTGCTCAGCTGCCATCTCTGTCTCGTGGTTTTCTCCTGTTCTGAGCAGTTTTGGTTTCCCTTCCTTGCCCCTCCGTCCTTCCCGCTCCAGGTTTCCTCTCCAGGTTTCCTCTCCCTCCTAACATAAAGAAGTGGGCCTGGCCAGAGCAGAGGAACCAAGGCCTGGCCAGCGAAGCAGGAAAGACGACTTCCCTCGTGGGAAACCCTGCTGTCCTGGCGTCTGGATGGTTCAGCCTGTGCTGTCTGTGTCCATTCCTGGCCCCCAGGTCTCCTGGACCCGCTTCCCACGGCTGTGTGGGGCAGTGTGCTGGAATGCTCCCTACTGACCCATCCTGGGGGGGATCCCTGCCCACACCGCGGTGATGAGTCAGCTTCAGAGCTCTCCCCACTTCCTGCCTGGCCGGCTCTGACGTGCTGCCCGGCCCAGGCGTTGGAGCACGTCCTGGCCCCATCCGGATGCCTGCATCCAGGCCTCCAGACACACAGGAGCCTTCGCATCTCACCTGCCGTCGGACAGACAGGCGGCCAGTTCAGTAGGACATTTAAAAGCAGCCAGGGTGGCCCTGGCCGGTTTGGCTCAGCGGTTAGAGCGTTGGCCTGCAGTCCAGAGAAACCTGGGTTTGGTTTCCACTAACGGCACATAACTCGGTTGCAGTTTGTCCCCGGCCCTGGTTGGGTTGTGCGGGTGACAGCCGCTTGATGTGTCCCTTTTGCGTTGATGTTTCTCTCTCTCTTTCTCCCCCTCCCACTCTATCTGAACAAAATATGGAAAAATGTCCTCGGGTGAGGATAAAAAAAATAAAATAAATAAATAAATAAATAAATAAATAAATAAAAATAAAAGCAGCCAGCATTTCAGTGTCAGATGTGTGAGAGAATCAGTATTATGATTTCAGAGAGAGTGGTAAATCGTGCTAAATCATGTAGCATCATCTCAGTTGTCAGATCTCATTGGTTTGGCTCAGCCATAGAGCACGGCCTGTAGACCAATGAGTCTCGGGTTTGTTCTAGCCAAGGGTACGTACCTCGGTTGTAGTTCATCCCCGGCCCTAGTCAGGGTCGTGTGGGAGGCAACCAGTCGATGTGTCTCTCTCACGTCGATGTTTCTCTCTCCCTTTTCCTCCCACTCTATCTGAAGATGGATGGAAAAATATCCTCGGGTGAGGATTTAAAAAAAAAAAATTTAAACTCTATGAAGACAGGGATTTTTGTCTATTTTGTTCACTGTTTTATCCCAGATACCTAGAGCAATACCTAGAACATAGTCGGCACAAATCTTTTTTGTGGGAAAATAGTTTGGGTCTTAGTAAGTGCAACCATGGGAATGCAATTCCATGTGTAAGCATTAATGACAGCAAGTGAGATTGATGGAAAAAACTGATATGATGTGCAAAATAAAAATACAACGTTCCGCTCTGGCTGGTTTGGCTCAGCGGTTGGAGTGTCGGCCCACGGTCCAGAGAGGCTGGAATTCAGTTCCCGCTAAGGGCACGTACCTCGGTTGCAGTTTGTGTCTGGCCCCACTTGGGGTCGTGTGGGTGGCAGCAAGTCGATGTTTTTCTCTCTTCCTCCCTCTCTCCCTCCCGCTGTATCTGAAGATAAATGCAAAAATATCCTTAGGTGAGGATAAAAAAAACAAAACAGCCCTGGCCGGTTTGGCTCAGCGGTTAGAGCGTCGGCCTGCGGTCCGGAGAGACCGGGTTCGGTTCCCGCTAAGGGCATGTACCTCGGTTGCAGTTTGTCCCCGGCCCTGGTCGGTCGTGTGGGTGGCAGCCACTCGATGTGTTCCTTTCATATCGATGTTTCTCTCTCTCTGTTCCTCTCTCCCTCCCACTCTACCTGAACAAAAAAAAATACAACATTTGGAGTAAGACCAGATATTCTGTTACTTCCTCCCCTCACGCACATTAACCAGTCCTGACTTGCATAGTCTATTCGAATTAATAAAACTTGAACTGAAGCTTGGTTTAAAAAAAAACATTAAGCCCTGGCCGGTTTGGCTCAATGGTTAGAGCATTGGCCTGTGGACCAATGTGTCGAGGATTTGATTTCAGCCAAGGGCATGTACCTCGGTTGCGGTTGGTCCCTGGCCCTGGTCGGGTCATGTGGGAGACAACCAGTCGATGTATCCCTCTCACGTCAATGTTTCTCTCTCCCTTTTTCTCCCACTCTATCTGAAGATAAATAGAAAAATATCCTCAGGTGAGGATTAAAAATAAAAACGTTAAAAGAAGTTAAAAAACATTAAAAATTAATCTCCTTTTCCTTCACGTACTACATCATTATTTCCAATAAGTATCTTTAGTCAGATTCTGAAGGCCTTAGGTACCTGATGAATATGTGAAGGAACAAACGAATGAAGGAGTGAAGGAGTGAATGAATGTTTTACCATAGATGGTAAGGACTGGGTTATGGTGGATAGCTTCCAAAATGTGGCCTATCTGTTTATTAACTGAAGGAATCTGCCTAATCCCTTCTGCTCTTGGTTTTTAATCCCCCAGGTGAAAGGGGGGGATGTGTTTATATTTTCATACAAGATTTCCCTTTTTTTATCTTCACCCGAGGACATTTTTTCATTTTTTGTTCAGATAGAGTGGGAAGGGGAGAGAGTGAGAGAGAGAGAGAAACATCGGTGTGAAAGGGACACATCAAGTGGTTGTTACCCGCATGACCAACCAGGGCCGGGGACAAACTGCAACCGAGGTAAGTGCCCTTAGCAGGAACCGAACCCAGGTCTCTCTGGACCACAGTCCAGTGCTCTAACCGCTCAGCCAAACCAGCCAGGGCCATTGTCATACAAGATTTTCAAGTTACTTTCATTTATTTATTTATTTTTCGTACATGCCCCTAGCGGGAACCAAACCCAGAACTCTCTGGTCCGCAGGCTGACGCTCCAACTGCTGAGCCAAACTGGCCAGGGCTCAAGTTACTTTCAAAAGGAAACACAGGACACAGATTTTCCCCTTCCTAAAGGAAATATTTGGAGTTCCTATTGCATACACAGGCAAGCTGGCTAATTAACTAGTATAGAGATGGAAAATGCTCCTGGGATTGCTACTGACCTCACCACATACTCACGCACACCCATGCACACTGCTTTTTGCTGATCAGAGGGATCAGGCTGGCACACTCAGACGCCATGTTAGGTGTGGGCTCACTGTGCTGGCGTGGGGGTGGCACTATGGGGGTGGCGATTAGAAGTTTGGGAGGGCATGCTTAGAAGGTAAAGCAGAAGGTGCTGGGGAATCTGACAGGGTCCGCAGGCTCGAGATGCTCATGATCAGACTGCTGGGCTGGCGGGGCTTGACCAGGGTTCCATTCCTCCCTCATCCCCGGAGGAGCCATGCCTCCCTCCTACCAGCTGTAATCAGACGCCGGTGATTATGCCACAGAGAGCAGGGCAGACCTGGAATAGTGAGAGAAAGCCAAGCCAGTCAGTCGGCATCAGCAGTAAGGCGACCAGCTGGTCTTGTCACGTCCTGAGTGTCTCGACATGATTCTAAAATGCCTTTTTGAAAATCTCTCTCACAGAAAGGAAGAGGTTTTATCAGAATGTCAGCATCACGCAGGGTGAAGGTGAGTGTCTGAAGTTTTGACTGCCGCTTCTTTTCCCCTGTGAATGCGTAGGAACATGTTCATGTCCAGCCAGCTGGATGGTGAGATGTCCCTCCGCACTCTTGTCGGCTCTGCTTCTGTCAGCCCTCCCTGGGGGACTCGGGGTTGTCTTTGCACCTGTTCGAGTAGCTCGATTCCACGGAGTCCCTGAGAGGTTTCATCTGGTCTCTCAAGGTGGCTTTGAGATCAACCTGGACCACAGGAAGCTGAAAACTCCCCAAGCCAAGCTCTTCACCGTCCCCAGCGAGGCCCTGGCTATCGCAGTAGCCACGGAATGGGACTCCCAGCAGGACACCATCAAGTTCTACACCATGCACCTGGTAACCGCGCGCAGCCCATCGCCGCCGCCGCCACTCTCGCTCTCTAGGGCACCTGGCAGGCTCGGAGATTCCTGTCCTGATTGCAGTAAAGCCCTTGGAGGTGGGCTCCAGCCACAGCTGCCTCCTCAGATGTGCCCGACAGTTCCTCTTGGGGTCGGCCACCTGCAGTTTCCCCTACTCGGAGCTGTGCTGGCGGCTCGGGGCAGGTGTGCCCGCCCTCACTGCCCAGCTGTCTTAGTTCCTGTCATGGCAGCTATCCATGTTCCATCATACTCCAGTCTGTCATCGTCTGCTTTACGTCTGTGCTGCCTTGTGAGCAGATGGGCAGGACCACACAGCCAGCTCCTGTGTGAAGTGTAGTCAGCACTGGGTGTAGACTAAGTGCAAGACTCAAGGGGCAGGTGAGGAGTAAGGACCCCTGCTTGGGGATCCCGTCCACAGGACCACGGGGGCACTGGAACAGCCTGGGTAGGGTCGGCTCAACTGGGTTCAGGCCCTACTTCCAAACCACAACCTTGGGCAAGTTACTGCCCCTTTAGCCCCACGTTCCCCATCTGTGAGGGCGGATGATACTGCCCACTTGTGGAGTGCTTGTGGGATGAGCTGCTGCACGGACAGCCTGGGTATGGTCCCGGCGCGCACAGACGTTCCGTCAGCAGGGGCTTGTGCTGTTGTCCTGGCCACCGCAGTGCTGGGCCTCCACATACCTGACCCAGGCACGCCCAGTGTCTTCACAGCTGCCGCGGTGCCAGCCTGCTTCGTTGTCTGATGACGGTGGCCGACAGGGCTGCAGGCCCGCCGCAGAGTCCCCCAGCAGCCTGCTGTTTCTGGCTTGGCTGACTGTTCCCCTGCCCCTGGGGTGTTAAGGAGCTAGCTGGTGAGCTTCCAGTCAGATTTGAATTCCGACAATGCTTATGAGTCTTATTAATTGAATTTGACCTTCATGGGACTCGGTTCCCACATCTCTGAAATGGGTCTAACAGTACCTGTCCCAAGGGTTGTGAGGATTGAACTAAATACAGCAGAGCCTAGCAGTAAAGAGTGTGAGCCCTTGGGCAGTACACAACCCAGGGGCCTGGGGCGATTCTGAGTCCCACGAGCTGCCACGGCGCGGTTGGTGCAGACCTGGCCATGGGAAGCTCAGTAGGTGTGCTACGGCTGAGGCGGTGGAGCTGCTCGGTCGAGGGCTCTGGGTGTACTGGCCGGCCCCCCTGCTGCTGCGGGTTGGGCACAGTGCCCTCGGAGTGCTTCATGGGCCCAGTGGGTGGTGACGGGCTCTCTGCCTTCTGATTCAGACCACTTTGTGCAACACGTCCTTAGACAACCCAACACAGCGAAACAAGGACCAGCTGATCCGGGCAGCCGTGAAGTTTCTGGACACCGACACCATCTGGTAATTGACGTTTAGATGAGCATCCCCCTCAGACCTAGTGCGTTCCTGGGCTGTTTGCCTCATTTGCCCAGTTGTCTGTAGAAGAGGAGCAGGCCCTTTGCCTTGTCTCCCGGGGCAGGGGAGCAGTCTCGCTGACACCAGCATTCACCTCTCTGTACACCCTGGGACAGAGACTCCTGGGCTGCAGAGGGCGGGAGCACCAGGCACAGCCCTTCTGCAGCCCAGTGGCTGCCTGCCCCTTGGCTTGGGCACAGGGTTGTCGCTGTGTGCCCTGCCCCTTGGCTTGGGCACAGGGCTCTTGGTATGTGCAGCTCTTGCAGGCTCCAGGGCCAAGGGGGTCACTTGCCAACCCCCAGAAGGGCCTCTGACCCTAGACTTCACCTACCAGCACATTCTCGTGTAGGCACCCTGGTCACCACCTGTCAGCCTGGATGCAGAGATGATCAGATGTTGATATTCAGGAGCTGGCTTCCTCTGCTTTTAAATTTTCCCATTGTGTCCACGTTTCCTTCCTTCCTTCTCTCCTTCCTTCCTTCCTTCATTCCGTCCGTCTGTCTGTCTGTCCGTCCGTCTGTCCGTTCTTGGAATTGGCTCACTCGGTTTTACTAGAGGCCAAGCAGTGTCACAGCTGCTATCTGTGAACTAGAGGATTAAAGCCGGTGGCATAATTCAGCCCGGGTCTGAAGGCCTCTCACCCCCCCCCACACACACACACACGCCCGTATTATAAACAGTGACTCGCGGGATTATGGGGACTCAGAAGTCTACTGTTGTCCGTGGGTGGACCGGCCAGCAGGCTTGAGAGCGGAGTGAGCCAACTTTCAGCTGGAGCCTGCAGGCGGGACCAGAGCTGATGTACCAGCTCAGGGTGTGCAGGCCGAAGGAGTGCCCTTGTTTTCGAGCTGATTGGTAGAGATGTTGAAGGGAAGCTGCAGTGGCTGAGCACCCTGTCGCTAGCCGAGTGCTCTAGGAGCCCGAGTGATGTCACAGGGTGCGTGACATCAGCAGGGAGGGCTGCTGGGGCACAGCTCGGGGAGAGGCCCACAGTGCCCGTTTTGAGTTGCTGGCCATCTGATTGCAGGGAACAGAAACTTATCCAACTTAGCTCAGGTAAGAGGGTTCTCTTGAAAACTATACAGGACCCTGATAGCAAGTGAGGGACAGCTGGCTGCCCTGTGTGAGAGCTGGACGATTGGCTGCCCGAATTTCTCCCTCTGCCCCCTCGTCTGCTCCTCCACAGCCCAGCTTTTCTTACACACTCACGATCTCTCTTCTCCCCTCTGCTCACACCAGACTGCTGTTCTACAGTGCCCACTTGGTTCCTGTCCCATGAGGCCTTGCAACTAAACTCCCCTCAGCAGACTCCATCTCTGTGTCTCCTAGTCAAAGCAAAGGGTGTGGCCTGGACCAGGTGGTGTGGCCTGGACCAGATGGGCTCAGGCCTCCATGACAGCAGCTGCATCTAGAGCCAGGAGACAGGTGGGCTCAGGAAGTCCAAGCAGGCACCTTGACCTGCGGCCAGGAACATCTCTCTTGGAAGGGGCGCAGGTAGCGGGGATGCAGAGGCTGCGCTAGATAGCGTCATGGTCAGCGCCCTAGGACAGAGTGGTCTGGGCAGTTAAAAGAGGGTACACAGTGCTACCAGCCTTGACTCATCAAGCAGTCAGGGAAATTCAGGACAGTGGTTCTCAAACTCAAGCTCATATTAGACTCCCCTGGAGGGCTTGTTAAAACACAGGTTTCTGGTCTTCACCTGCCGAGGGTCTGCTTCCCGTAGGTGTGGGGTGGGCCTGAACGTGTACTTGAACCAGTCCCGGGATGGGGCCGTGCTGCTGGCCCTCAGGCCTCACTGAGAACCTGCCTCGGGGGAGAGTGGTGGGGCCAGGGCAGAGGAAGGTTCTTTTTGCCGTTGCCCTTTGTGTGTCTCTGTTGTCTGTCACTGGACGAAGGAGTGGCACTTTGTTATTAATGAGGTGACTTTCACAATGAATTAGCTACAGGGTGGAAGAGCCAGAGACACTCGTGGAACTTCAGAAGAACGAGTGGGACCCCATCCTGGAGTGGGCTGAGAGGAGGTAAGATGTGCACGGTCAGGGCCATGCTGGGTGGGGCAGAGCTCTTGGGTGGCAGGCGTCCTGAGTCCAGAGCACCCTTGGGATTTGGTTTCATCCAGATGTTCAGGACCACACTGGAGAAAACGTTCCTCAAATTGGGCTCGGCCGCCGTGCACCTGTGTTAGCAGGCTTCGTGCCAAGTGTGGCCCAGCTCTGCCTGATCAACTGTGGCCGTGAGCCAGGGACTTTTAGCTCCCCAAGGGTTAACTCCTAATCCTGACCTCTTAGGGTGTTTTGAGGAGTAAATGCAGTGATTGTTAATGTCCTGCTTGGCACACAGTGGTTCACGGTCCAGAATCGCCATCTTTACCGCTGTCACTATGGCCCCACTGTTGAAATACATCATAAAACAGTGTGATATGTACACACGTGGACATTTATCATGGATATAAGGTGTCCAGGAATTGAGGATGCCCAGTACTCTTCCTTATCAGAAAGACTTTTGTGCAAACCGAATAGACTATCGATGTGGTGGCAGAATTCAGTTTCATTTCATCCCAAGGGCACTTTGGAAGGGCTACTACGTCAATACCTCTTGACCCCACAGTAGTTTGTAAGGTCATGTGGATTTGAGCATAGCGTTTTCCACAAAAGTGATTCTGTCGGTCCGTCTGTCTCATGTGGACACATTTACTGAGTGCCCACGATACACCAGGCATCTCTCAGTTGTACAGTAAAAGGCATGGCCAATGTGTTAAAGGAACGAGTGAAATGTAACAGATAGAGTACCATGTCAGAACTGCGAGGATGCAATGTCATTTTGGTGTCTAATGAAATACAACGATGTTTAGGTGCCTGGAGATTTTTGCTGTGATTCAAAATGGTCGGCTTTTGGTGGCAGTTGAGATTTCTTGTTGTTAATAATTTTCGGAAAAACTAGACCATTTGCTCTGTTTCACTTGTACTATTAGAAATTTCGGTAAGAATAGTTCTAAACCAATGGGGAAAAGCAGTGATCTGTGAGAGAAAATGACGGTTTCTGGCTAAGGTGGTGGAGGAGGTAAACATGGGAATTGCGTCCTCCCACAACCACGTCGGAATTACAACCAAACTGAAGAGCAACCATCACTTAGAACCACCTGAAGTCTCGCTGCACAGAAGTCCCATAACTAAGGGTGTACAGAAGACGCCACATTGAGACTGGTAGGAGGGGTGGAGATATAGAACGGGCAGGTCTCACACCCATGTGTGGTGGTTAGAAACCGTGAGGGAGCTCTGGCCAGTGCCTGGGTTGCAGGTTTCATCCCTGGCCTTGGTCTGGGTGTGTGCGGGAAGCAACCAGTCGATATGTCTCTCACATCGATGTTTCTCTCCTCTCCCTCTCCTCTCTCCCTACCCCCTCCCAACCAATCTGTCTAAAAATCAATGGAAAAAACTTTTTTTTTTAATCATGAGGGATATCTCAGTTATGGAGGTACCCCAAGAGGAGCAAGAGGTCCCAACCCTACACCATGCTTCCCAGCCCAGGGTTCCGGTGCCTGGAAGAGAAGTCCCCACGCCTTCTGGCAGTGAAAACTAGTGGGGATTGTGGGTGAGTGAGAGGGAGGCTGCTGGAGTCCCAGGTGTTCCTCTTAAAGGGACCATGCACAGGCCCACTTGCTCTGAGCTCAGGCGCTAGGGCAGCAGGTTGGAAAGGCACCAGGGATGTATGGGACGAACTGAATGGTTTGGCTTCCAGGGAAGGCCTGGAGGGGCAGCTGTGTCCCAGGCAGAAGTGCTGGAGAAGCCATTGTTTCTTTGCTGAGCACGCCCCCTGCAGGCAGCTGAGCGCCATATCTGAGCCTCCATCAGCCTGGCTCAGACGTTCACACTGCCCTGGCGGTTTTCTGAGACCCTGCCTCCTCCAGCTTGTGGGCCCACCCGAGCTGCTTCCAGTGGCAGTTCCAGAGAAGTGGCCTGTCTTGGCTCATGCTGCGGACTTTTCTAAATCTCCCAAAGGGCCACAACCCCAGACTAGCAGCATCTGGCCTCAGCATGCCCCGTACCTTTTACTAAGCAGTCCCAAGCCTGGCACGAGTGGCGGCCTGCCTTGGTTCCCTGCCTGGCTTCTCCCAGGCACCTCCAAGCCCAGCACAAGTAGTATACATCTGCAGATTTGTAGCTCATCCTGGGTGGCCCCAGGCAGGGACTGACTGGCTGGCACCTCCCAGGAGGCCCCAGAGCCAGTGCACCCAGTAGATAGCTTCAGACCACACTGGAGCAACATCCAACCACCTCCACAGTGACACACCCAAGAGGTTGACCGGGCGAGCACCTGATGCCCACTGGAGTGAGTCCTGCTCTGTGGGGTGGGCCCTGCACATGAGCTGCTCTGCTGTAACTTTGGCCAGTCCTCAGCAATCAGCCTGGGGGTCAGTCCCTCCCGTTGATGTGCCAACAGCAATCAAGGCTCCACTACAACAGGAGTGTGTGAACAGTCCTCATGGGGGGTGGGGTACACCTGGAGCACCCCACTCAGATGACTGAAGGCAGCCTCACAGGACACCTACCACGTAAAGCCACCATATGAAGACTGGGAGACGTAGCAGCTCTACCTAGTACATAGAAACGAACACAGGGAGGCAGCCAAGAAGAGGAAACAAACAAACATGTCCCAGATGAAGGAACAGGACAGAACTCCAGAAAAAGAACTGGACTAAATGGGGATAAGCAATCTACCAGATGCAGAGTTTGAAAGACTGGTCATACAGATGCTTAATGAACTTAGGGGAAAAATAGATCAACTCAGTGAGAACTTCAACAAAGAAATAGGAAACATAAGAAAGGACAGTCAGAAATGAAGACTACAGTGACAAATGAAAAATATACTAGAAGGAATCAATAGTAGAATTTATGAAGCAGAAGATCGAATCAGCAATTTGGAACATAAGGTAGCAGAAAACATCCAAGCAGAACAGCAAAAAGAAAAATTTTTTAAAATGAGGGTGGTTTAAGGGGCTTCTGGGACATCATCAGATGTACAAACATTCACATCATGGGGGTGCCAGAAGAAGAGAGGGAGCAAGGAATTGAAAACTAATTAAGAAAAATAATGACAGAAAATTTCCCTAACTTGGTGAAGGAAAAAGACATACAAGTCCAGGAAGCAGAGAGAGACTCCCAAACAAGATGAACTCAAAGAGGCCCACACCAAGACACATCATAATTAGAATGCCAAAGGTTAAAAACAAAGACTCTTAAAATCAGTGAGAGAAAACCAATTAGTAACTTACAAGGGAGCTCCCATAAGACTATCAGTTGATTTTTTTTTTTTTTAAAGAATGATTTTTTCTTTATTTTTAAAATTTATTGATTGATTTTAGAGAGAGAGGAAGGGAGAGGGAGAGAGACACAGAAACATGGATGAGAGAGAACATCAATTGGCCGCCTCCTACATGCCCCCCACTGGGGATCGGGCCCATAACCTGGGCATGTGCCCTGACTGGGAATCGAACTGGCGACCTCTTGGTGCAGGGGTCAACACTCAACCACTGAGCCACATTGGCTGGGCTGTCAGTTGATTTTTTCAACAGAAACTTTGCAGGCTAGAAGGGAGTGTCAGGAATTATTCAAAGTAATGAAAAGCAAGGACCTACAACCAAGATTACTCTACCCAGCAAAATTGATCATTTAGAGTTGAAGGACAGAAAAAGAGCTTCCCAGATAAGAAAAAAGCTAAAGGAGTTCATTACCACCAAACCAGTATTACAAGTCATGTTAAAGGGTCTTCTTTTTTAAAAATTATTTTTATCCTTACTCGAGGACATTTTTGCATTTATCTTCAGATGGAGGGGAGGGAGAGAGGGAGAAAGAGAGAGAGAGAAACATCGATGTGAGAGAGACACATCGACTGGTTGCCACCCTCACGGCCCCAACCGGGGCCAGGGACAAACTGCAACCGAGGTACGTGCCCTTAGTGGGAACTGAACCTGGGTCTTTCTGGTCCATGGCCAACACTCTTAACTGCTGAGCCAAACTGGCCAGGGCAAAGGGTCTTAGAAGAAGAGGAAGAGGAAGAGGAAGAGGAAGAAAGATTAAGGATATGAATAATAAAATGGCAATAAATACATATCTATCAACAATTTATTTTATTTTTTATTTATTTTTTAGATAGAGTAGAAGGGAGGGAGAGAGAGAAACATTGATGTGAGAGAGACACATCAATTGGTTGCCTCCTACACGACCCCGGATCAGGGCCAGGAATCGAACCTACAACCCCTTGGTCCACGGGCCGACGCTCTAACCGCTGAGCCAAACCAGGCAGGACATCATCAACAATTACCTTAAATGCAAATGGATTAAATTGCCCAGTGAAAAAACACAGAGTGGCTGAATGAGTGTGAAAGCCAACCCATACATAAGCACCCTACAAAAGACTATCTTCAGATTGAAAGATACACAGCGACTACAGTAAATGGATGGAAAAAGTTATTTCATGAAAATGGAAACAAACAGAAAAGCTGGAATAGCAATACTTATAACAAACAAAATAGACTTCAAAGCAAAGGCTATAAAAGAGACAAAGAAGGACCCAGCAGTTTCACTTCTAGATATTTATCTAAAGCAACGCAAAGACTTTGGCATCTGTGTGTTCGTCACAGCATTATTTACCATAGCCAAGATATGGAAGCAACCTAACCGTCCATCAACAGATGAATGGATAGAGAAGATGTGGTACATGTATATAGTGAAATATTAGTCAGCCTCAAAAAAAGAATGAAATCTTATCATTTGCAACAACATGGATGGATCAAGAGGGTGTTGTGCTGAGAGAAAGAAGTCAGACAGAGAAAGACAAATGCCACATGATTTCACTTACATGTAGACTCTAAAATACAACATAAAACAGAAGCAGACTCATAGATACAGAGAACATTTTGATGGTTGTCAGAAGGGAGGAGGGTTGAGAGACTGGGTGGGTGAAAAAGATGAAGGGATTAAGAAGCACAAATTGGTAGTTACAGAACAGTCATGGGGGTGTAAAGTACAGCATAGGGAATATAGTCAGTAATATTGTGATAACTGTTCATGGTGTCAGATGGGTGCTAGATGTATTGGGGTGATCACTTCATAAGTTATATAGTGCGTAATCACTGGGTTGTACACCTAAAACTAATATAACATTGTACATCCTCAGTAATTGGAAAATAAAAAATTAAGCAAAAAAAAAAGAAAATGAAAAAAAATGTGCTTTTATTTCATTGTTTTTTCTGTAGTTATGATTGTTCTTGAAAATGTATTATTCTTGCCCTGGCCAGTTTGGTTCAGCAGTTAAAGCGTTGACCTGCGGACCAGAGAGACCCGGGTTTGATTTCCGCTAAGGGCATGTACCTCGGTTGCAGTTTGTCCCTGGCCCCCGTTGGGTTCGTGTGGGTGGCAGCCACTCAATGTATCCCTCTCACATCGATGTTTCTCTCTCTCTTCCTCCTCCTCTCCCTCCTGCTCTATCTGAAGATAAATGCAAAAAAAGAAAATAAAAAAGAAAATGTATTATTCTTAAAGCCAGCTCATGTCTCAGACAAAAAACAATGCTTTGTTTATAGTAGAGGCTTAATAAATATCTGATAGTGATTGAATGATATAGGACACGCACCAATGTTATTGTAAGGAAAGAAGCATTTAAAAGAAATCTCTTATGAGTTCATTGTGAAATTTTTTCTTAAAAAGTTTAAAAAACACCTTTTTTGTTGTTGTTAATCCTCACCCAGGATATTTTTTCCATTGATTTTTAGAGGAAGGGAGGGAGGAAGGGGAGGAGAGAGAAAATCGATGTGAGAGAGAAACATTGTCTGGTTGCCTCTCACACACGCCCCTGCTGGGGCTGGGGATCGAACCTGCAACCCAGGTACGTGCCCTTGACTGGAAATCGAACCCGTGACCCTTTGGTGTGTGGGCTGCTGCTCTAGTCACTGAACCACACGGGCCAGGGCAGCCCACACTTCTGATCAAGATTCCAGGCAAATAGGATTTCAGGCGAAACCTGTTCTCAGGACTCACTGACCCGTGCCTCCATTCAGGGCGGCTTCTCCACCCTCTGGCTTTGCTCATGAGACACATCAGGTCAAGAAGTCACTGACTACAGTGGCAGTTGCTCCCAGAATCCCCAAGACTGGTCTTGGCCACATGCCCTGAAGGGGAGCACCCCCGCTTAGCAGGTTGGGGCTTTGCTTCTGGGCAAAGCTGAGGCGTAGAGCACACCAAGGCCATGTCCTTTCAGGTTCGGTGTGGAGATCGGCTCCTCTACCAGCATCCTGGGGCCCAGCATCCCAGCCCGGACACGGGAGGTGCTCGCCAGCCACCTGGCATCTTACAGCACGTGGGCCCTACAAGGTGCGCACGGCCTTCCCTGGGCAGGAGTGTGCATGGGAGGGAGTGTGGACGGGAGGGGGTGTGGACGGGAGGGGGAGAGTGGGGGGGGGGCTGTGATGCTCACTCTGCTCGGTGGAGAGGAGAAAGTGGGTTTTCCCTTCAGAAGTTCAGATCTCATTGACCTGGCCCAGGTCCTATGCCCATCCCTGGCCAATCACTGGGCAGGGGGTAGAATGGTTCAGGCCATGTGCCCACCCCAGGTTGGAGCAGAGGGGGATCTCCCCCAAGGAGAACCAGAGTGTGCTTGCAGGACAGTGAGGAATGGGGACAGCTGGTCCAGAAGCCATGTGCCCTGTGGTTCTCCCCACCTGGTACCTTTGCTCCTCTAGGGGGAGGGGCTCACAGGAGCAGGTCTGGCAGCTACCCTGCTTCAGGGTGGGGTGCCTTGGGCCCTGACTTGGCTGGTGTCCCTGCAGGGATCGAGTTTGTGGTGGCCCAACTCAAGTCCATGCTGCTGACCCTGGGCCTGCTGGACCTGCGCCTGACGGTGGAGCAGGCCGTGCTGCTGTCGCGCCTGGAGGAGGAGTACCAGGTGAGGGTGCACACTGCAGGCGAGTGCCTGTCCCGCCCCCTCCCCCTTGCCTCGGGTCCCCCACCCTCCCACTCGCTTCACGCCTGGAGGTGAGGCAGCCCGCTGTGGGCAAGTGCCTGTCCCGCACCTCCCACCTGCAGACTGACTGCGGTCTGCTTTATTGCGTACATAACAGAAACCACAACAAATAATGACAAAGTAACAGTGTTACCCCTTCCCTCCAGCATTGTGCTCAGCTCTCTTCTCACCTCCCCTCCTCGTCTAAACAACCTGCTCAGGTTGGGGCTGTTGTTACCCCCATTTTACACAGGAGGAAACTGAGGCACAAGCCACACCCCCAGGAAACACTGGAGCCAGGTATTCCAGGTCAGGGCCCCCCCACCCTGCAGGAGGCAAATCAAGATCGCTTGGGCCTGGAACACTGCAAGAGGGGCTGCTGCGACGGCTGGGCACCTGGGTGTCCTGGAGCCCCTCTGCGCCCTGACATTCACCCAGGCCGCCGGGCGGCAGGTGCAGAGGGGCTGCCGCTGGTGCACGCGTGCCGGTGCCTCGGGCGTCCATGGGGTAGCTCCTGTCGGTCGCATTTCTTTCCTCACTGAGGGCGTGGCATTGAGTGTAGGTGGGAGAGAAACATCCATGTGAGAGACAACCTCCACTGGTTGCCTTCCAGGTGCACCCTGACCAGGGATCGAACCCACAACCCAGGCATGTGCCCTGACTGGGAATCAAACCCTCTGGTGCACCGGATGTCATTCAGCCAGCTGAGCCACCCGGCCAGGGCTCATGGTTTTTATTCATTCATTTATTCTTTTTTTTTTTTTTTTCCCTTTATTGATTTTAGCGAGAGAGGTTCGGAGAGGTAAAGAGAGAGAAACATCGATGAGAGAGAACATCGACTGTCCACCTCCAGCACACCCCTCACTGGGGATCAGACCCACAATCTGGGCACGTGCCCTGACCAGGAATCGAACCAGCAACCTCTTGGTGCATGAGTTGACGCTCAACTACTGAACAACACCGGCTGGACTAGGGCTCGCATTTTTTTTTTTTTTTTTTTATCATCCTCACCCGAGGACATTTTTCCATTTTTTGTTCAGGTAGAGTGGGAGGGAGAGAGAGGAACAGTGAGCGAGAGAAACATCGATGTGAAAGGGACACCTCGAGTGGTCACCACCTGCACAACCAACCAGGGCCGGGGACAAACTGCAACCGAGCTACATGCCCTTAGCGGGAACTGAATCCAGGTCTCTCCGGTCCGCAGGCCGATGCTCTAACCGCCGAGCCAAACCGGCCAGGGCTAGGGCTCGCATTTTTTAATAGATTACGGCAGTCTTTGCTGCTATTTCTCCGACTTCGTGAGGTTGATGGCTGTTACAGATTGGTTCCTCGCATGATGAACCCCTTTGGAATGGCAGTGTTGCCCAAGTCCATCTAGTCATCTGCTCAGAAAAATCCCCCATCTGTTTCTGTATCGCAAAAGAAGCTAGGTATTCTCGGGGTGTTAGAAACAATTAAATGGCAGGAGGGATGACCTGTGGGTATGAGGCTGCGAGGGTTCTGAGAGAGAGGGCACCAGGAAGCCTGGTTCCTGGTCTGGGCTCTGCTTCTGACTGTGGGACCTGAGCCAGGCCATTGCTTTCTGGGGTTCAGGTGTGATGGCCATGAAATGAGGACGAGCCTAGACGATGTTCGTGAGCTCGCAGACACACAGAATACTCTTCAGATGGCATATACCAGGGGTCCAGATGGGACTCGGCCACCAGAAATGCGGACAGCTTCTGTGATAGCTAGTTCTGAGTTCCTGGATGGGCTGGACAGCTGGGCCAGGCAGCTGGGTCAGGCCTCCGGCCCCGGTCCAGGGAGCAGCTGGTGGGTTGGACTGGACTCACACTGACATCTGGAGAGCCACGCTGTGCCCGTCAAGTCCAGGGGGAAGCTGCTGCCCTGCCCCAGGGTACAGAGCAGAGGCCTCTGGTGCTGCAGCTCCCGGGAGCCAGGGATGAAGTGACCAGTGCCCTGGCTGATTTGACCCCACTCACGGGGGCCACTTGCAACCCAGCCTGGGGGGCAGCTCGTAAGAGGCATTGCACAGGCTGCCTGTGTGGGGGGCAGTGCGAGAAGGGGTGGCAGAAGGGGTGGCGCGCGGCCTAGTGCCTGGCCTGCTGACGGGGGTGCTTCCTGCCCCTGGGCCCAGATGCCCCGAGACCAGCCACACCTGTCGGACTTGGGTGCCGCCGGCCACCGCTGTGCCCTCACCTGCTGCTCCCCAGCATGTATGCCCTGCGTGGTTAGGCAGGACTGGAGCCCGTGGCCTCCGTCCCCCATGGGGTGTGTGGCTTTGACTGGCAGGCGGCAGGCCCTGAGCTGCTCACTCCATGTCATTTCTTGTCCTTGCCTCAGATCCAGAAGTGGGGCAATGTGGAATGGGCCCACGACTACGAGCTGCAGGAGCTCCGGGCGCGCACAGCCGCGGGCACCCTCTTCGTGCACCTCTGCTCCGAGAGCACCGGGGTCAAGCACAAGCTCCCGCAGGAGTGAGGCCGGCGGGGCGCCGGCAGGGCGCCTACAGGGCGGAGGCTCCCCCAGAGCCCCTCAGTCCAGCCTGAGCCCCTGAAGGAGTGAGGCCAGCGGGGCGCCTGCAGGGTGGAGGCTCCCCCAGCCTGCGCACACCATGGCTTGGCCTCCACTTGGCATCTCCGAGATGCCCAAGACGGTAGCAGTGCGGGATCTGGTGGTCGCTGGAGTCTGCCCTGGGTGCCCTGCCCTGACCAGCATGGGGGAGGGGACAAGGTGGACCAGTGGTTTTCTCAGCCCTATTGTATTAAACATTTTTCCACCCCAGAAAGGTGCTGCACCTGATTGCATTTACGCCTCCACACATCTTCCTTCCCCGTGTGACACTGGGTTCCACCAAGGTCTAGCAGCTCCCTCCCACAGCGGAGCGCCACCTGCTGCCTGTGCGGAACCTCGCTGCCCCCGGGGTCATGTCATCCACAGACAGCTCTGTGAACCCTCGCTCCCCAGGAGCAAAACTGCATGGCTCCCATTTGTGGGGCACCAGCCACCTGCCAGGGGTTACACCCCGCTTCCCATGCATGTCCCCCAAGTGCCTGGCCTCCTGGGGAAGGCACTGCCACATCCCCACTACGCAGAAGCTCGGGCCGCCCCGTGACATGCTCCTCCCCTCCGCAGATCTCTGGGTCCCAGCGGCCAGGCTCAGAGGGAGCTGCAGCCTCTCTGCCTTGGGGCTGCTGTGCCTCAGCACTCGGAGGAGCGCAGGGCACCGTCCACACTGGCTGCCTTGGCCTGCAACCAGCGGCCTGCCCGGGCGCGGCAGGGGCAGTGGCATGGAGCCGAGGGCTCGCTCTCAGTAATGCTCAGTGCGCCTCCCGCAGACACGAGTGAGGGTCTGGTGACTTCTCCAGAGGACGGAGAAGAGGTGACAGGTCCTTTATTTCCCTCTACATTTGGTAGTTTGTGCAGGGCTGGGGGAGAAGGACGTTAGGGGTGGCGGGCTGAGAGCCCTAGTAAGGTCTACAGCAGTGAGGGAAGCGGCTCCTGGTCAGGGCCACGCGCTGGGCTTTCCGAAGGGACCCTGGGCAGACATGCTCAGTCCAAGATGTCGCCGCAGTCGAGGTTGTCCAGTTCGCTCTGCATGTGCTCAACATACTGGTTGATCTCCTTCACCCGCTTGCGGTTCCGCATGACCTCATCCTTGTGAATCTGAGGGGTGGAGCCCAAGCCAGGCCCTTGGTCAGACAAGGGGTTTCACATCTTTCAGGAATCGTTTGGGGGAAGGAAAGCAACTCTTTGAACTTGGCTCATTCACTCCCAAGTGTCCTGCGCTTCGCCTTTTCTACATATTTGAGTTAAGAGTTAGAAAAATGATGAAGTACATGGTTTTAAAGCCTGATTGGGCCTCGTAGTTTTGCTCAGCAGTTAGAGCATCAGCCCCTGGACCAATGGGTCGCAAGTTGAATTCTGTTCAAGGGCACCTACCTGGGTTTGCAGGTTCAGTCCTCGGCCCTGGTTTCTCTCTATCCCTCCCTCCATTCCACTCTATCTAAAATTCAATGGAAAAATATCCTTGAGTGAGGATTTTTTAAAAAAGGTCTGGCCCAGCCAGTGTGGCTCAGTGGTTGAATGTTGACCCTGCACCAAGAGGTCGCTGGTTCGATTCCTGGTCAGGACACATGCCCAGGTTGTGGGCCCGATCCCCAGTGAGAGGCATGCAGGAGGTGGCCAATCAATGTTCTCTCTCATTGATGTTTCTCTCTTTCCCTCTCCCTTCTCTCTCTAAAATCAGTAAAGAAAAAAATAGTCTGATTGGGCAACATGAAGTCTTTAGAATTCTACAACCCTTAATCTTACTTTTTGATTTAATTCTTTTAAAAGTATGTTTATTCACTTTACTTTTTAAAAATAGTTTTTTCTTTATTGATTTTAGAGAGAGAGGAAGGGAGAGGGAGATAGAAACATTGATGAGAGAGAACATGAATTGGCAGCCTCCTGCATGCCCCCCACTGGGGATCAAACCCACAACCTGGGCATGTGCCCTGACCGGGAATCGAACCGGTGACCTCTTGGTGCAGGGTCAACACTCAACCACTGAGTCACAATGGCCAGACTTCTTCATTTCTTATTGCAAAAATAGATGCTAGGCCCTGGCTGGTGTGGCTCAGCGGTTAGAGCATCGGCCTGTGGTCCCAAGAGACCTGGGTTTGGTTCCCGCTAAGGGCATGTACCTTGGTTACAGTTTGTCCCCGGCCCTGGTTGGGTTGTGCGGGTGGCGGCCACTTGATGTGTCTCTTTCACGTCGATATTTCTCTCTCTCTCTCTTTTCCTCTCTCTCCCGTCTACTCTATCTGAACAAAAAAATGGAAAAATGTCCTCAGGTGAGGATTAAAAAAAAAAATAGATGCTAGGAAAAAGTTCTGCTTCTCTCTGACTGGTAGCTGGAGACGTGGGCACAGCCAGACAGGGGCATCCACTCACCTGGTCCACTAAGCGTGTGCACCAAGAGTTGACCCTGGTCACCAGCTCATCTTCCCGGTTGTCGATCTTCAGGAGGTGGATGTCGTGAGATGCCCCCACAGCGTTCACAAGAGTGTCTTTGTCCACAAAAAGCTGGGGAAGGGGGGAGATCAAAGGGCAAGTGTGTCTCTACCTGCTGAGCCCAGAGTCAGCAGCTGACAGAAAGGAGCCCCTGGGTGTCCCCTGGCAGGTGGGGGCCCTGCTGGGTGGTGGCTGCCGGCAGGCACCTGGTGGAGAGCTCGCCTTCCTACCGGCGCGTTTCTCACAGCTCGTCTTCTGGTGACAGCCCTCCCAACCCTGGGCGGTGGCGAGTGTTACGGGAAGGGTCACCCAGGGCGTTGACTGCAGACCTAGTTGGGGGTGTGTTTTCTCCAGGGATGAGGCAGATGGCCGCCTCTGGGGTGACCTCACTCAGGGCATCGACTCTCATCACGGTTCCCTATCCGTTGCTGCCAGGATGGCCTCCTGGACCCTTGCAGGCCAGGTGGGAAGTGAGGCTGGCTGAGGGTCCTGGGGCTGCTGAAGACAGAGGCCCTGCCAGCAGCTGGGCACTCACCCCCCTACCCCCGTGTCTCCACTGCACCCCACGCTGACCAGACCACACCCTGTACTGTGCCGGGGCCCGCCTTCCAGCATTCCTGGGCTCATTCTCTGCCTGGTAAAAAGTTGCTGAAAAACAACCACCCTCGATTACACCTGCTGGTTCCAGGTGTTCGCACTGTGGCTGCCGTGTGCCTGGCACACGGAGTCATTCCCGGGGAGGGTGCTGTGCAGGCCAAGGACGCACGAGCCCCATGCCCCGCACGGCAGAGGGCCGCGCATGGGTGTGGATGCATTCTGTTCTTCTGTACGTAGCGGTTAACCTAACAGTCTCCAAAACATGTTCTGTGGAATCTTGAGATGTTAATATTTCTGAAAAAAAAAACACCCAAAAGCATTCTTTGGTCCAACATGCCTAGGTCCCTCCTCTGTCACGGTGCACACGCAATGTGTCCAGTGGCAGCTGTAGGCATTCCTGGGGCAAAGAAACTCTTAACTTTCTCTCAGTTTTGCAGCTTGTTTGGCCTCAGATCGGTTTCACAGTAATACTGTGACCATCTCAGGGGATGAGGGTTTCACAGAATCCCACAGGGAAAAGCCACGCAGGCTGGTGTGGGGAACGGGACTCGAGGGAGCACCAGCAGCCATGGGGGAGAAATGACCAGAAGGCGTCCAGCTCCTCGGTGCACAGACGGTGCAGGCCAGGCTCTGGGAGGGGTGCAGGGACACATACAGCCCGCCCTTCGCCAGCCTCAGGCACCCTCCCTCGGGCCGGGTGCCGGGAGTGGCTGTACCAGCAACTTCAAAACAGCCAGAAGCACACCAACCCTCACGGCAAGGTCCTCGTCTCTCTTTCGAGAAGTGGGTTGCAGCACTCTCCTAGGCCAAGAGGAGACTTGTCCCCCCAGACTTTGGACATGTGGGGGACAACTTTGGAAGCTGTGGAAAGTGGAGTCGGCTTGGAGTGGAAAAGGCACGGATTGGCTATGAGAACCTGTGACGTTTGTAAAATACAAACAGAAGGAGCATGGTTTAAAGAAATGATTTTTAAAATCCCTGGCTGGTTTGGCTCAGCGGTTGGAGCCCAGGCGTACATACCTCGGGTGTGGTTCGGTCCCCAGCCCTGGGGACAATTGATGTGTTTCCCTCACATCAATGTCTGCCCCCCTAACCCTCACTCCCTCCCACTCTTTCTGAAAATCAATGGGAAAAGAGCCTCAGGTGAAGATTAACCAAAAGAGATGGTTTTGAAATGCAGGTTTAAGTTCTTTCTGGGCTCCAGGTCAGTGTACCTTCAGAACAACTCCTCTGGGTAGATACTTTCGGTTCCGTTCGCCTCCCATTTCTGCAGGTCGCAAACCCCAAGGGAGAGACGGGTCCTTGAGGAGTAGCAGCCACTCCTGCCTCCTGAACCACCCACCCCGTTCCGTGGACCCTGTGGCCGTAAAGACACATTTCTTTCGAAGCGACTTCTTGGAGGGGGCAGCTGTGAAGGGCAAAGCTGGTGGCCTCCCCAGGACCACAAGATGCTGGTGGCTTGAGGATTCATTGCTCTGTGCCCATGTGGGGTCAGATCACCCCGCCATGCCCATCCTGTGCCCCTGCCAGCACAGCGGCCCCCTCTGCCACAGAGATGGGCAGAGATCTTGTCCCCCAGACCCTACTTGGCCAAAGGGGTAGTGACCCGTGCTGCCAGCCCCTCTGCCCAGGGGCAGCCTTCAGGTCCCAGCAGGATCTTGCCACAGCCACCCCGCCCGCCGTGAGCCACGTGTCCAGGGACTGCTGACCTGTGTCACCGCCACTGTCAATTAGCGGACTCTGAGCCCCAAGTCCAGTGGCCTGGACCCCTGCACTGGGTAAGTACCCAGGGAGCCTGCCTGGCCTCCCGCTGCCCCCTAGACTGGCAGAGGGGCTCACTGCAGCACAAGGCTGGCTGCCAACTGCTCCTGGCCGTGCCACAGGCAGCTGTGCCACCAGGGCCTTCCCTGTGCCAGCTCCGGGCTCTGCCCCTGCGCAGGTGGGTTCTGCTTTTCCCTCCAAAGTGCTGAAGGGCTGGAATCTAGATCTGGCCACAAGTGTGGCACGAACAGGTCACAACCACTCATCTGGATGAGGGTGCTAAAGAGACCTTCATCGATGTGACTGTTAACCGTGACATGCCCACTGATAATGACACACCAGAAGCCAGATTTTTTCAACCTAAGGCCGTTCCTGCATCTGAACAGCCCATCTTGCCACAGGCTCAGGAGACGTTTTGTTGAAGACTCTGAGTCAAATGGCCTGTGTTCAAATCCCAAGTCGACCACATAGACGCTGTGTGTCTCGGGAGTGTTAGTCTCATCTCTGTGCCTCAGTTTCCCTTTCTGTAAGAGGGAGTCATAATGGTACCAATATTCCTGTGTGGATGTGGACATTAAAAGAGTTGCCCTGGCTGGTTTGGCTCAGCAGTTAGAGCGTCGGCCTCGGTTGGGGTCTTGTGGGTGGCAACCACTCGATGTGTCTCTCACATCGATGTTTCTCTCTCTTCCCCTCTCTCTCCCTCCTGCTATATCTGAAAATAAATGAAAAAAAAAAAATGTCCTTGGGTTAGGGTTAAAAAAAAAAGAGCAATGACAGCAGCTCCTGGGAGGCCTGCAGGAAGGACCAACTGTGTTACTGTTGCACTTTGCAGCCAGGACATGCTTTCTCCTGGATGACAACGTGCCACATTGTGCCGCTTCGCTCTGACACTGCAAGGTCCTGGCGAAATCTCCAGCTGCAACTGCCCATGTCCCCATGCGGGTGAGGCGCACCCTGGCCTGCAGAGGAAAGGCAACCAGGGGATCCTGCTGGCTGCCCACCACAGGGCTTTAAAAGGGTGCACTTGGCAAGAGAAACAAAGAAAAAAGTAAATACATGGGACTATATCAAACTAAAAAGCTTCTGTGCAGCTAAACAAAACAAAACAAAACAAAACAAAAAAACAACCCAACAGCAAAATGAAAAGGGGTTCCACTCTCTGGGAGAACATATTTGCCAATGATACATTGGATAAGGGGTTACTCTCCAAAATATATAAAGAACTATTACAAGTCAACAACAGGAAGACAAACAATCCAATTAAAATATGGGCAAAGGACCTAAATAGACACTTCTCGAAAAAAGATATCCATATGGCCAATAGACATATGAAAAAATGCTCAAAGTCACTAATCATCAGAGAGATGCAAATTAAAACAACAATGAGGTATCACCTCACACCTGTCAGAATGGCCGCCATCAACAAATCATCAAACAACAAGTGTTGGCGAGGGTGTGGAGAAAAGGGGACTCCAGTGCTCTGCTGGTGGGAATGCAGACTGGTGCAGCCACTGTGGAAACTCCTCAAAAAATTAAAAATGGAACTGCCATTTGACCCAGCAATCCCACTTCTGGGAATATACCCTAAGAAGCCTGAAACACCAATCAGAAAGAATATATGTACCCTGATATTCATAGCAGCACTATTTACAATAGCTCAGATCTGGAAACAGCCCAAGTGTCCATCAGTAGTTGTGTGGATACAAAAGCTGTGGTACATGTACACAGTGGAGTACTATGCAACAGTAAGAAAGAAAGATCTCTTATCCTTTGAGACGACATAGAGGGACCTGGAGAGTATTATGCTGAGTGAAATAAGCCAGTCAGAGAAAGACAAATACCACATGATCTCACTTATTTGTGGAATCTAATGAACAAAATAGGCTGATGAATAACATAGATCCAGAGACTTGGAAGTAGGGAACAGACAGATGAATCTCAGCGGGAAGAGATTAACCAAAGAACTGATAGGCGTATAAGCACAACCCATGGACACAGACAATAATAGTACAGTGAAGGCCTGGGGGTGGAGGGGGTCAATGGGGGGGGGTAAAGGCAGCACATCAGTAATACTTTTAACAATAACGACCAATTAATAATAAAGGAGTGCACTTGACAGCAACCCTGCAGGGGCGCCCAGGGAGCCCCAGGCTGGGAGCAGAGCCCCCTCATCCTCGTGCCTGGGACCACAGCCCCACCCAGAGCTCAGCTGCAGTGGGCCCAGCCCAGTTCTCATCTCTCAGAGAGTCTGAGTCCGGACTCTGGTCCTCACTCTGGTGTCATCTTGGGCAGTTCCCAGCCGTTCCCAGCGTCCCCGTCTGCAAACTGGAGGAGGCCAGCACCACCTCTGTGGGGCCTTTGCTGAACTGAGAAATGTGTGTGAGCACAAGGCTCCAAGCCGGGGCGCGGCCGTGGTTGCCCCTGGACTCGCCCCGCCCACTCAGCAGGTGCCCGGGTTCCTGGAACCACAGACACAGGTGCAACGCACCCGGCAGAGCCCTCCTGCCAGGAGAGGGCTGGCCCCTGGAAGTACCAGCTGCCTGCTTGTCCACCGTTAGCCCCCTGTTCCTGTGCCGGTCCTTTGGGAGGGAGCATGCTCATCTCCCTATGCCTGGACCACAGCGGTGTTCAGGCTGTGCCCACGGATGTCACAGATCGGGGAGCCATGTCATGAGGGAAATCTACCCACCTTTTTTTTTTTTCAATCATCACCTGAGGATATGTTTTTTATTGATTTTAGGGGGAGAGGACGGGAGGGAGAGAGAGAGGGAAACATCGAGGGGTTGCCTCCCCTATGTACCCCAGCCATATGCACCCTGACTGGGGAATCAAACCTGGGAATGTGCCCTGACCAGGAAGCAAACTCATGACCTGTGGCTGTACAGGATGATGCTCCCACCACCTGAGCCACCTGGCCAGGGCTCTACCCACCTCCTGATGGCCTGTCCATCTGGGGGTTCCCAGAGGGGGCCCTTGGGGGAAGCCTTACTTCAGGACGGGGGAAGATCGCATCTCCCTATGCCTGGACCACAGCGGTGTTCAGGGGGTGTTCAGGGAGGGAGGCTGGTGGCACAGTGGCCTTGCCTCCATCTGCTGTGTTGGACAGCGACCGTGGGAGCCGGGACGGCTGGCCTGGTGTCCATGGGACCCAGCCCGCACGGAGGGCAGAGCTGCGGGCACAAGCCATGCACCACTGCCAGGCCGGGGAGGTGCACAGGGGCGAGGAGGCCATCCCCACCTTCCAACACGTGGTTCGAATAGTCACACAGCAAAGCAACAAGCTCGCCTGGAGCTGTGCCGAGGGCTCTGAGGATAACAATACAGCCGGCCTGCGACAGACTGCAGTTTTCAGGTTGGGGACTAGGGGCCTCTCCCAGGCTGCCATGTGAGCTGAGACACACGGAACCCAAGGGCAGAGCATACTTGCCAGCGAGTGCCATCAGGAGGGGCACGCCCTGGGGCTCTGGGGGTGGCTCCATGTTGGGCTGGGGAGGCAGTGGCTGGGGAGCAGGCCAGGCACAGGGCCTGCGGGTTGGATGGAGAGCTCCCTCTGAGAGCCGGGGCACTCAGAGACCTCCGTTGGGTTTTCAGGGGTCTCTGTGTGGAGAGCAGCCTGCCAGACAGCAGTACAGAGGCCGTGGTCCACGCAAAGCCTCGTGGTTGGGTGATGCCACGGAGGTGGAGAGAAGCAGAGACTCTGACTGATGGATGATGAGGGAATGAAAGGCTCCTGACAGGAAAGTGTCTGGGCCTGGGCCTCCTATCGCTGTTTGAGGCTCTTCCCACAGACATGACACCACTGCCACGGACCACAGTGTGGGTGACTGAGGGCCCAGGGCTCAGGACACCACTGCCACGGACCCCAGTGTGGGTGACTGGGGGCCCAGGGCTCAGGACACCACTGCCACGGACCCCAGTGTGGGTGACTGAGTGCCCAGGGCTCAGGACACCACTGCCACGGACCCCAGTGTGGGTGACTGAGGCCCAGGGCTCAGGACACCACTGCCACGGACCCCAGTGTGGGTGACTGAGTGCCCAGGGCTCAGGACACCACTGCCACGGACCCCAGTGTGGGTGACTGAGGCCCAGGGCTCAGGACACCACTGCCACGTACCCCAGTGTGGGTGACTGAGGCCCAGGGCTCAGGACACCACTGCCACGGACCCCAGTGTGGGTGACTGAGGCCCAGGGCTCAGGACACCACTGCCACGGACCCCAGTGTGGGTGACTGAGGCCCAGGGCTCAGGACACCACTGCCGCGGACCCCAGTGTGGGTGACTGAGGCCCAGGGCTCAGGACACCACTGCCGCGGACCCCAGTGTGGGTGACTGAGGCCCAGGGCTCAGGACACCACTGCCACGCCCCAGTGTGGGTGACCGGGGGGCCAGGGCTCAGGACACCACTGCCACGGACCCCAGTGTGGGTGACTGAGGGCCCAGGGCTCGGACACCACTGCGCGGACCCCAGTGTGGGTGACTGAGGCCCAGGGCTCAGGACACCACTGCCACGACCCCAGTGTGGGTGACCGGGGGGCCAGGGCTCAGGACACCACTGCCACGGACCCCAGTGTGGGTGACCGAGGGCCCAGGGCTCAGGACACCATTGCTGCAGACCCCAGTGTGGGTGACCGAGGGCCCAGGGCTCAGGACACCATTGCTGCAGACCCCAGTGTGGGTGACCGGGGGCCCAGGGCTCAGGACACCATTGCTGCAGACCCCAGTGTGGGTGACCGGGGGGCCAGGGCTCAGGCCGACCCTGCTGGACTCAGTGGGGCCGACCCTGGGTCTGTGACGCCCACTGGCTGCTCTGGTGGAAAGAAGACCGCGTCGTGCCAGATCAGAGATGGCGGCGGGGCTGGGCTCACACCCCAGCAGTACTTCTAGTCAGAGACTCAAGGGCTGAGAAGACCTCGGGAAATTCCCGACCTCAGCTTCTCTCTGTGACCACCTCTCCCAGAAAGTGCCAGAAGCCCATAGAAATGAGCTTTCGGAAATCACCCTCTCTGTCGGCGGATGGGATACCCGATTACCACGCGCCCCTCTTTAGATGAGCCTCATGGGGTCCCCATCAGGTGTCTTGTTAGCCTGATCTGCTGGCCACCCCGCAAAGGGGGCTATTGTTCCCTTTTGCAGATGAGGAAATGGAGGCCCCCGGAGGTCTCAGGCTCCTGGGAGCCACAGAGCTGGGCTGGACCCTACGAGCCCACTCACCGCGCGGACGCCGTCAGGCAGGTCTTCGTCCAGCTCGCCCTTGGCCATCTTCTCCAGGGTGTTGATGGCGATCTCCAGGACCTTCTCGTGGTGGTGGTTCTCCAGGTCCCGGCACTGGGCCACTGTGCGGCCAAGAGTTAAGCCAGGGTGGAGCAGGCCAGGCAGCCCCGACCAATGGCAGCTACATCTCCGCGGATGGGAGCAGACTCTCTCGGGGCCCAGGGCAAACGCAGGTGCCAGTGCGCTGCTGACTTCACAGTCCTCTCGCCATGTGCACCTCGCCAGGGCCATCCCCATACACCTGCCTGGTTGTCCCTGACCTTGGTCCTGGACTCCCCCACGGTCCCGCCACCACTCACTGGTGTCCATCCCACCATCTCCTGACCTGACAGTATAGAGCCCTGGTCTCCTGCCCCATTCCTTGTTCCCACAGCGGCAGGAGAGGATGCAAGTGGAGGGGGCTCCATCCCTCCTGTGCTTATCCCTCTCCAGGAGCTCCCACCTCTAGTGCGGCCCAAGGGCCTGCTCTAGAACCCAGAACGCTCCGACCCCACCTCAGGACCTTTGCACAGGCTGCCTCTGCTGCTCGCTATGTTCTCCCCACGTTTCTGCCCAGTCCCTCTGGCCCCCTCAGGGCCTCACTTAGTGGCCCTGTCTCCGGGAGACTGCCGGTCTCTGGGTCACTCACTGCCTCTGTAATGTGTGTCCCTGTAGGACTGCGGGCCGGGAGGGCAGGACCGGGCATTACTGGGGCACAGCACAGTCTCCTTACACCACAGGGCTCTGATTCATGTGGCACAGTGTTGTCACACCCCCCATGTCGGCTCCTGATCTAGAAATTTAACCTGCCTGACTAATTATGAATAATTTGCCAGTGTTTTCGACTTGGAGGCTGTCCTACCCCCTGGCATGTCTACCTGCAATGCTGAGCAGGTGGGATTCTGCAGTGTGGTCTGCCCTGTCACTCATTTGAGAGCAAAGCTTCCAGGACGTCTACTACAAATAATGCTCCCCCCACCCCACCCCCAACCAGAATAGCAGCCTGCAGGGGTCACTGGGACAAAGCCCTCCTTGTTCTGAGTGTGGGACTGTCCTTCAGACCCAGGGAACATTCTTTTTGTTCCCTTTATTGATTTTAGAGAGAGAGATAGAAACATCAATGAGAGAGAACATCGATTGGCCACCTCCTGCATGTCCCGCACTGGGGATCGGGCCCACAACCTGGGCATGTGCCCTGAGCGGGAATCGAACTGGCGACCTCTCGGTGCAGGGTCGACGCTCAACCCCTGAGCCACACCGGCAGGGCTTTCCTGCCCTTTGTAAAGAATGCACACACCTCCTCCCAGTTCCCCTGGAGGCAGGGGGAGCAGTGTCGTTGGCCAGGATAACCCCACGGGCCCAACAGCACCTCCCCAGGGCAGGTCACAAAGGAAAGGATATAGGCTCTGGACGTTTTCAATGAAGGTCCCCACCAAGTCGACGATGTTCCTTTCGAACATGTTTATGGTCTCCTAGGAATGGTAAAGGACACAGTTAACACGCACAGTGAGACAGAACTCGACTGGCCTGGCCTCGGAGCAAAAGGACTCCTTAGCCCTGAGCCAGCCCCTCCTCTGTCACAGGCCTTTGGGACGAAGGCCAACCCCTCGGCCTCCTGCCGGACGTCGATGAGCTGATCTCCCCACTGACCTCTGTCCCACGGCCCATATTCTCTGGCCGTTTCAGGTCATTCACCACGCTGAGTGCTTAAACTGATGCTTTCTCCAGGCCTCTGCCTGTTCCCACCTGTCCTGGTCTTAACCCTCCCCCCCCCCACCACACACAGAACCACTCCCCTTCTTTGGGCCTCTCCGCAGCACAGTCTGTCACCTCCAGGAAACAGGAGGAAGTCGGTAAGAGCCGCTGCCTGGGTCAGCACCCCAGCTCCACCGCGTGTAACTCAGAATTGTCATTTAAGCTCCCTGGCCTCAGCGTCCTCACTGACGACATGGGTTTCCTTTGCAGCAGCTGTCTCGTGGAGCTGTGGTGGAGCTGTGGTGGAGCTGTGGTGGAGTTGTGGTGGAGTTGTGGTGGAGTTGTGGTGGAGTTGTGGTGGAGCTGTCTCGTGGAGCTGTGGTGGAGCTGTGGTGGAGCTGTGGTGGAGCTGTCTCGTGGAGCTGTGGTGGAGTTGTGGTGGAGCTGTGGTGGAGTTGTGGTGGAGCTGTGGTGGAGCTGTGGTGGAGCTGTGGTGGAGTTGTGGTGGAGCTGTCTCGTGGAGCTGTGGTGGAGCTGTCTCGTGGAGCTGTGGTGAAGTTGTGGTGGAGCTGTGGTGGAGTTGTGGTGGAGTTGTGGCGGAGCTGTCTCGTGGAGCTGTGGTGGAGTTGTGGTGGAGCTGTGGTGGAGTTGTGGTGGAGCTGTCTCGTGGAGCTGTGGTGGAGCTGTGGTGGAGCTGTGGTGGAGTTGTGGTGGAGCTGTGGTGGAGCTGTGGTGGAGTTGTGGTGGAGCTGTCTCGTGGAGCTGTGGTGGAGCTGTGGTGGAGTTGTGGTGGAGCTGTGGTGGAGTTGTGGTGGAGTTGTGGTGGAGCTGTGGTGGAGTTGTGGTGGAGTTGTGGTGGAGCTGTCTCGTGGAGCTGTGGTGGAGTTGTGGTGGAGTTGTGGTGGAGCTGTGGTGGAGTTGTGGTGGAGTTGTGGTGGAGCTGTGGTGGAGTTGTGGTGGAGCTGTGGTGGAGTTGTGGTGGAGTTGTGGTGGAGCTGTCTCGTGGAGCTGTGGTGGAGTTGTGGTGGAGTTGTGGTGGAGCTGTGGTGGAGTTGTGGTGGAGTTGTGGTGGAGCTGTGGTGGAGTTGTGGTGGAGTTGTGGTGGAGCTGTCTCGTGGAGCTGTGGTGGAGTTGTGGTAGAGTTGTGGTGGAGCTGTGGTGGAGTTGTGGTGGAGCTGTCTCGTGGAGCTGTGGTGGAGTTGTGGTGGAGTTGTGGTGGAGTTGTGGTGGAGCTGTCTCGTGGAGCTGTGGTGGAGTTGTGGTGGAGTTGTGGTGGAGCTGTCTCGTGGAGCTGTGGTGGAGTTGTGGTGGAGTTGTGGTGGAGCTGTGGTGGAGCTGTGGTGGAGTTGTGGTGGAGCTGTCTCGTGGAGCTGTGGTGGAGTTGTGGTGGAGTTGTGGTGGAGTTGTGGTGGAGCTGTCTCATGGAGCTGTGGTGGAGTTGTGGTGGAGTTGTGGTGGAGCTGTCTCGTGGAGCTGTGGTGGAGTTGTGGTAGAGTTGTGGTGGAGCTGTGGTGGAGCTGTGGTGGAGTTGTGGTGGAGCTGTGGTGGAGTTGTGGTGGAGTTGTGGTGGAGTTGTGGTGGAGCTGTCTCGTGGAGCTGTGGTGGAGCCTGAGTGGGTTGCTTCACACAGAATGCTTCGCAAGGTGCCTGGTAGAGAAACCCTCCGTAGTCCTGGCTATCACCCCAGACCATCCTTGCCCTGGGGGAACCCCGGCTTTGCTGCACCCCGGTGCTTGGCAAGGCACCCAGAGCCTCGATGGGACTTAATGTGGGATGAGGGAACAACGGGAGGTGATGCACGGTGAAGCCTGCGAGCCCGTGAGCCCCAGGGCTGACCGTGCCCCCAGTCCACCCACCACTCCACCACGGACCCCGGGGCTGCAGGGTCCGCGAGGGAGCAGGAGTCGACAGGAGCCTGGGGACAGCCCACAGGCTGATCCAGTCATACATATTCCAAGTGTGTGTACACACCGTCGTAATGACGAAAGGTAGGGTCATTGAAAAGCACCACAGCAGTTGCAGCCTGTGGCCACCTGTGCACAGTATGACAATGTTACTAGTGGGACTGTGCCGGGTTTGGGGCATTTGGGCTTGTTGGGGGCTGCTGCCTCTGCTCCCCTGAGACCAGGAGCTGCCCCTGCAATGCTGGGGGCTCTACAGCGGGGCATCTGTGGTGTGGCATGAGGGCACCTCTATCCCGCGATTGGGAATACTCTCAACATGAGGGATTGACCAGGGCGATCTTGACCAGTCCCTGGTAGCTTAGAAGTTTTCCTAGCAACTCTTTCCACATCCACGATTCGGTGCTGGGCCGCAGCTCCTCGCATCCCCAGAGTGCGGTGAGATGCAGAGGAGCCTGTTTCACCCCCGCGTGGGGGGTCTGCTTTGTTTTCCGGGCATGGGGACAGCACCTCTCCTGGCTGAGGGCTGAGGCTCCGAGCTCTTCCAGGCTGGATGGGGAGCTCTGCAAAGGAATGAGCTCACCTCTCATGCTGGTCAGTCACTGCAGTGTAAGTTACTGAAATGTCTTGAAAGCAAAGGGGACTGACGAGCAGGCGTCAGCCTGAGGCCGGCCCTGGGCATTCTCCGCAGAGGAGAGCAGGGAGGCTCCAACCCCAGCCCATTCCCTTCGTGCCCAGGGCCCGGCCTCACCTCCAGCTGCTCTATCAGCTGCATCTCCAGCGTCATGAGCAGATCAAACAGCTCGGTGATGTCCTTGTTGTACTCCGTTATCCTCAGCTCCATGCTGGCCAGGTCGGACTCATCTCGGATGGCGGTCAGACTCTGGGAATGGGAGCCTGTGCGTTAGGGACCCGCAGCCATGTGTGGTGAGTGACAGGGGACAATCTGGTTTGGTGGGTAAGGACTGGACTCTGGGTTTGGACTGCCCAAGCTCAGGAGTCACCAGAGCCACTTGTCAGCCCTGCAAATGTGCAGGAGCTCGTGACCCTCCACGCCTCGAGGCTGCTGGAGCAGAGGCCGAGCTCCAAGAGCTTCACCCTCACTCTGGTTCCCCTTAGAGGGGGCTGGGATGCTGGGGGGAGCAATGGTATCAGAGCCAAGGGGCCTGAATCTGGCTCATCTGTGAGCCAGGTATGAGCAGCATGACCCCCACGAAAGGCTACAGCAGCTCAGGTAGGGGGAGACCCCGGAAACATGGCAGCCCGTTCTGAGGACACCACTCAGACCCCCACGGACTGCAGTGAGCAAGCGGACGCAGGTGCAAACAGACCTGATGTTTGGGGAGGGAGACTGGAGAGGCCCGGGTCCAAGCTCCGTGCCGAGTACCAGCCGACCGCTGGCCAGGGCCAGAACACTTGGCCACCAGCTACAGTGTCTATTTATTTATTTACTTTTCTTTTTTTTTTTTTTTTGTCTGTGTCTTCTTGTTTGATTCCAGGCGAGTGATATTTATAATAGTGGTTACCCCACCTGGAGAAAAATGAGATTCAATTCCTAGCTCCAGCCTTACATGAAAATAAGTTCCTGATAGGGCGAAGATTTAAGTGTCAAAAATAAAGCCATAAATGTACCAGAAAAAATTGAAGGCTTTTAAATAAATAATCCTGTTGACTTTAACTTCCATATTACTACCCCAGCCTCTTATTGTTTAACCTCGCCCCTAGCCCCTTGTTCCAGGAAAGCAAAGCTTATCGCTCCGGCAGGCGGAGCAGCATCCTGAACCCCCACCCAAACCTAAACTGCCGCTGGAGGAGAACAACTCTCGGAAAGACCCCAGCCCCGACCATCAAGGCCCCCACCCCAGCCCTAAGTTTAAAAACCCTTAGTCTGTGCCAACTGGCTGCTACGCTCCACTTGGAGGCAGCCCAGCAGGTATTTCCCTCAATAAACCTGTACTTCCCGGTTACTCAGCACCATCCCATTCTTATATAATGGTGCTAAAACCCAGGGCAGCCCTGGCCGGTTTGGCTCAGCTGTTAGAGCATCGGCCTGCGGTCCAGAGAGACCCGGGTTCAGTTCCTGCTAAGGGCACGTGCCTTGGCTGCAGTTTGTCCCTTGTCCCGGTTGGTTGTGTGGGTGGCAGCCACTTGATGTGTCCCTTTCACGTCAATGTTTCTCTCTCTCTCTCCCTCCCACCATATCTGAACAAAAAATGAACAAGTGTCCTCGGGTGAGGGGAAAAAAAAAAACCCAGGGCAGGAGCTGGGTAGCCTGGACGATCCCCGGCACAGACCACCCTTACTAACTGGGAAGCAGTGGGCTGCGGCAGCTCGCCCCGGGCTAACTCCCAGATTCTGGGTGGACTGTGGTTTGGGTGGATTGGCCGGCTCCAACCTGTCCTGGACTCCCTCCTACCTGCCGAACCAGGAGGTAGGGAATTTCTTCCTCCCCTCTCCGGTGGACCTTCCAAATTTTAGGCCCCTGCACCCTCTCTCTCTCTCATTCTTTCTCTCCTTCTTTATTCTCCCTTATTTTTTCACCTACACATGGTTTTGATTTTGACTCATCCCTGTCTATTGAGTAGCCGTTCATCTTGCTCTTGCCTCGAAATCTAGGTACCTAGTCAGGTCTCTCACTACTCAGACATTCAAGTCGGGGTGACAACTCCTTCTTGATCTGTCCTTCCTACAGGCTTGTCCTCCCAAGGCCTTGATTGGAGACGGGGACGCCCTCTCCTCTCATTGCCTCTCTACGAAATGGGGTCATCTCAATCGAAACCGCCTCGCTCAAGCCCCCTTGACCATCTACTGAAAAATCTAAACAACCCCGGCCTCTCCGATTTGAGGCCCCGCAAACTCATATTCCTCTGCAATATGGCCTGGCCCCAATATAAACTTGACAATAACTCTCAATGGCCAGAAAATGGCACTTTTGACTTCAATATTCTAAGAGACTTAGATAGTTTCTGCCACCGGACAGGCAAGGCCTCAGAAATTCCTTACGTGCAGGCTTTCTTCTCTCTCTGCTCTCACCCTTCCCTTTGTTCTACCCCCTCCACCCACCAAGTCCTTCTAGCCCAATATTCAAGCCCTCTGCCTTCGACTGATTCTTTTGACCCTCAAGACCACTCGGCCCCCACTCCTCCTCCTCTTTCTCCTCCTCCTCCTGCCCCAGATACACCCCTTCTCCCGCCGCACCAACTGCTTCACCTCCGCCTTATCCGAACACCTCTTCTCTTCCACCAGATGAGCCTTCCCCCACATCCCTCCCCTTTCTCTGTCCACGTAAGCCTCCCCATCCCAGCCTAGATCCACTCCGTGAGGTTGCGGGAGCTGAGGGGATAGTCCACGTAGCCATCCCCTTCTCCCTCTCTGACTTAGCCCAAATTGAACGCCGCCTTGGCTCCTTCCCCTCTGATCCTGACACCTACATCAAGGAGTTCCGATACCTCACTCAATCGTATGATCTTACCTGGCTCGATCTTTCTATCATCCTTACTTCCTCCCTCTCTGCACATGATAAGGATCGGGTGTGGGCGACCTCCTAGCAAGTAACAGATGAGGCACATGCCTGGGACAATAACCTTTCTCTAGGGGGAGACGCAGTTCCCCCCAGTGACCCAAATTGGAACTATCAAATTGGCCATGCTAATTGTAGGGAACGCGACCGTCTTATAGACTACCTTCTTCAGGCCTTAGAAAAACTTGCCAATAAGGCCGTCAATTATGACAAAATCAAAGAAATCATTCAGAGGCCTCAAGAAAATCCGGGAGAATTCCTAGAACAACTCTCCCAGGCCTTTTGTAGATACACTCGTATGGACCCCACCACCCCAGCTGGGACCACCCTCCTCCAATCCCATTTCATCTCCCAATCTGCCCCTGACATTAGACGCAAACTCAAAAAACTTGAGGACGGGCCCCACACGCCTCAGAGAGAGCTCTTACATACTGTCTTTAAGGTCTCTAACAACCGGGAGGAAACGGAGAGGGAAGAGCAACAGAAAAGACAACAGGAGAGCTACCTTATGCTAGTGAAGGCCCTTCAAGGGAACACTGGCCCGAGGGACCGAGGCTCTAGGAGACAACCTCCCCAGTCAAGTCCTCCTGGCTCCTGCTTCCAATGCAAACAAATGGGCCACTGGGCGAGACAGTGCTCAAACATTCGTTGCCCCCCTACCACCACCACCAGGGCCTTGCCCGCACTGTCACCACGAGGGCCACTGGGGAATTGATTGCCCCGAGCACCAACGGGCATTTGGGTTGACCTTTCCCAACAACGTCCCACCTAGGACAGTAACAGACTTTCTGGGACTGGGGCAGAGGACTGAGGAGGCCCTGGGACACCGGCCCCAGTACACGTCACCAGCAGTGAGCTCAGGGTAAACCTTCGCAGAGCAGGTAGGGAAACCTCCTTCCTCATAGACACTGGGGCCACCTTCTCCACCCTCCCCGGATTCAATGGCCCTCTCAGCTCTTCTCAAACCTTCGTAGTGGGGGTCTCAGGTCAGCACTCCTGCCCCCTTATTACTTCTCCTATAACTTATATCTTAGATGGAACCTCATTTACACATCAATTTCTAGTCATGCCTCAATGTCCGACCCCCCTTCTGGGACGGGACATCTTAAGCAAATTCCATACTACCCTCCAACTCTTCCCTCCAAAGAGGCCTACAACCCTATCTCAAAGTATTAAAATATTCGGCTTGCTGGACGACAGCCACTCCCCCGACTCCTCCGATCCCTCTGCTTCCTTTCCCATACCTCCCTCTATTGTTAACCCCCAAGTTTGGGACACTAGTCAGCCTTCCGTAGCGACACACCATACCCCCATCTCAATTAATCTCAAAAACATCTCTCTCTTTCCTGATGTACCCCAGTACCCCATTTCTCGTAAACATCTCCAGGGCCTAAAACCCCTCATCTCCAAATTTTTAGCCTCAGGACTCCTAAACCCCACTAACTCCCCCTACAACACTCCGATTCTCCCCGTCGTCAAACCAAACGGCACCTACCGACTCGTACAGGACTTATGCTCTATTAACTCGGCCGTCTTCCCCATCACCCTAGTAGTGCCCAACCCATATACTATCCTCCTACCATCCCTCTAACACCTCCCACTTCACTGTCCTGGACCTCAAAGATGCCTTTACCATCCCCCTACATCCAGATTGCCAGAATCTTTTCGCTTTCACTTGGACCGACCCGGACACCCTGCGCTCCCAGCAGCTAACATGGACAGTCCCACCTCAGGGACTCCGGGACAGCCCCCACTTTTTCGGCCAGGCCCTAGCAGATCTTAACAAGCTCACCCTCCCCACAGCACCTCATCCAGTATGTCGGTGGTCTCCTCCTTTGCAGCCCGTCTTTGGAGGCCTCGCAGTCAGATACCACCCAGCTTCTCAACTTCCCTGGCCGGTTAGGCCACCGGGTATCTCCTTCCAAAGTACAGCTCTCTCTACCCCAAGTCACATACCTAGGAGTACAACTGGCCCTGGGAACGAAAGCTATCGCCACCGATGGAAAGCATGTCTTTGCCTCTATAGCGACTCCCTCAACCAAAGAGGAGCTCCTTTCTTTCCTGGGAATCGCGGGCTTCCTCCGGTCATGGATTCCTAACTACAGCCTCCTAGCAAAGCCCCTGTATGAGGCAACCAGAGGAGAGCTCTCGGAACCACTAGACCCCAGACTCCCGGTACAAACACATTTTACTAAACTGAAACAGGCCCTCCTTCGGGCTCCGGCCCTACATCTCCCAGACTCAAACTCAGATGTCATACTTTATGTTACTGAAAAGCAAAGACTTGCCCTCAGGGTCCTTGGACAACAAAAGGGACCACCCTTTGCACCTGTAGCCTACCTCTCAAAACAACTGGATCCAAC